CACTGTCAGACTAATTTTGAGAGAAAACCTGTTGAAAGCAAAAGTGGTGGGCAAGGGAACTGCCCTTGGAGGCTGGGACACCCAGCGTGGCATTAACATGCCAAGGACAACCAGCATGGGTGTCCCGTCTCTAAGGGCAGAGTTTCTCCTGCCAAAGGGCTCTAAAATGGAATGAAAATTCATTAAGCCACAAAATGTAAGTATCATCCTTTTTTTTTTTTTTTTTTACAAAAGTAATGATCTAAGATAAAATGATTTTCTTTGAAATTGAAAAAGTAAATTTAAAGTCAAACATGTTTTTAAAGTATTTATTTATACCTTCATTCATTTCTTTAGTGTATTTGACTTATCAGTTATTGTATATATTTTTTAACAATTCGTTTTTCATTTTAGACATTAAGATATCATCAAATTATTTATTTATTCATTCATCATTCATTCAGCCTTACCACCCTGGGTCTGGCTGGACATGGGAGCCTGAGCCCTTTAGGAACAGGTGCCTCCAGGTGACCACCAAGGACAGCATGGAAGTGACCTGTACTTGGGGAGAACTGGGCATGGAAATAAAAGGTGCTTGATCTTATAATGAAATATAACCTGTGAATAGAAATGATGAAATGGTCCTTTAATTCTGTCAAATACATTTTAGACTATATTTTAATCTATGTCATAATTTGTGAATGACAAATAAATGTGACAGAGTTGAACTACATGTACAAGCCTGAAGTCCACACCAGTGGTAAGTGAATTGCATTATATAATTGTATTGCTCTATTCAAGGCAATAATTCAACAGATATAGCAATTAACTTGGTGCATTTTTAATCTACTAGCAAGGAATCATGAAAAAAAAATGTTATTGATGACAACAACACCCTGACTCTCAGGGTGCAAGTCTGGACCTTCAGGGTCTGTTCACAATGAATTTGAAGACCTAACTAATATACACTAACTCCATGGAAACTCTCGCTGAATGCAATCAAATCAACACATTCTGTTCTTTCAGGTGATACCAAAAAAGAGAACAATGTAGCAATTGTTAAGACCCTAAGTATTGAGAAGCTAGGTAAGGCTGGAATCTCAGTAAAATAATTATGAATTTTGATATATTTATGAAACATACATGCACACACACACATACATTAACAAACCCACAAACAGTACACACCTTCATTACACACTGCAATCATGTTGCTCAAGCAAAACCTGGTCTTTAGCTTAATATAATTTATTCTAAAAGCTAATTAAG